GGGATTGAACCCTGGGGCCATGGCGGTGAAAGCACCGAGTCCTAACCACTGGACTGCCAGGGAACTACCCCATTGATGGTACTTTTGAAGCTGTGTTTCACTGCCCACTTGTGATTCTGCCCAACTTGGGATTATTTCATGTTAAGCTTCCATCTGCTGCCTGGGGCTTACTTTATTTTTACAGAAAATGTATGCATAAAATTCTGTGTTGAGCAAGTTTTTAACAGATTGTTAATCTTAACCTTAATTTTAGGAATAATAGCTTTAAAAAGTAAGCAAATAAAGGTTATATTCTGATAACATCACTAAAAAAATATGTATGTATTGTTAATAATGAGCCGAAGGTATAAAGGCTGCTTTCATTTTGGAAAAAAAACTGATTGGTTAATTCCTCTTTAAAAAAATCATAGAGGGCTTCCCTGGTGGCGCAGTGGTTGAGAGTCCGCCTGCCGATGCAGGGGACGTGGGTTCATGCCCCGGTCCGGGAAGATCCCACATGCCGCGGAGCGGCTGGGCCCGTGAGCCATGGCCGCTAAGCCTGCGCGTCCGGAGCCTGTGCTGGGAGAGGCCACAACAGTGAGAGGCCCGAGTACCGCAAAAAAAAAAAAAAAAAAAAAAAAAAAAAAAAAAAAAAAAACATAGAAAATAGACTGTCTTCTTTTCTGTAGGAAATATAGTTGTAGTAATTGTCCAAAGTGTTATTTGCTGACTGTAGTGGCTTTTATTATGAAATGTCTGATGTTTTGTTGATGATGTTAGTTTCCATTAGATATAAGATTTCTTAATATTCTTATGGGGGAAAATCAGTGAGTCACAGTGAAACAGAAAAGTATCATTTTCAGTAATTTAACAAGGTATTATAAAATCTTTTATAGTTTCTTTCAGTGCTTTAGCACTACATCTTTTTTTTTTTTCCTCTCTGCTCTGTATTCTTATGTCTTCTGAAATGGAGTGTTTAAAAAGGCATTTTCAGTAGCGATAGTATGTAGAAAGTATAAAATTCCATCTTTGATGCTGTCTGTATGTTTAGTCTTTGGGATTACACTTCTCTTAGTGTAGATTAAAAATCACTGCACTCTTCCTAAAGAAGGGACTATATATAGCTTAAAAGCAGTTCAAGAAACAACAAGGGAAACACTAGATGAACTTGTCAAAATTTAAAGTTTTAAAATCATAGTTACATCATACTGGAAACATTTGTATCAAAATGAAAGAAAGAAAATTTATATGAAGAAATAATATAGGGTAATAAGGAAAACACAAGATCTGATAGATGGATGGACAAATAATATGAACAGAGAGCTCACATAACTAATAGAGAATTAAAGAAATGTAAAACAATGTACCATTTTCCATCTGTCAGGTTAGTCATGACTAAAAAATTCATGGGACTTCCCTGGCGGTCCAACGGTTAAGACTTCACCTTCCAATGCAAGGGGTGCAGGTTCAATCCCTGGTCAGGGACCTAAGATCCCACATACCTCGGGGCCAAAAAAACAAAACATAAGAAGCAATACTGTAACAAATTCAATAAAGACTTTTAAAAAAAAACATGAATTCTTAAAAAAAAAAAAAATTCCCATGGCTTTCTCATGTCCTCTGGTGGACTATAATTCTTTCAGAAAACCTTAAGTATTCATACTCCTTAACCAAGTAATTCTCATTTTTAGAATATATCCTATGGAAATAATTTTAATTACAGAAAAAGCTTTATATGCTAAACATATTAATCTCAGTATTGTTTTGTTTGGTAAAAAAATGTGAATTATGTACATTCACTGGATGGAATATTATGTAGCATTTAAATATGTTTCTATTTGAAACCTAGAAAATATTTGTGATAAATGAAAACAGGATACAAAATTATACATACAGTATGTTTATGATTTTTTAAAAGTTGTGGAAAGAGAAGACTGAAAAGAAATTAGACAATATTATAATTAAGTTTTTATCATCCTTTTTCTTTTTGTTCTATATTTTCCATGTTAGAAAAAAAGGCTCATGACATATTTAGAGGGAAAAGCATTAGAAACACTTTATGTTTGAGGTGATTTTATACCTTTTCTCAATGGCTAAAAACAGTAGCATCAATCCAGAGTTAAGAATGAATTTATTTTCTGCTGTCCAAAAGGGGGAAAAAAAGAGAATAAAGAATATGCAGGCTTAAACGTCACAATTATTAAATTAATAATGCTAAAGGCCAAGTACCTAGTTGCCCCCTCTCTCCTAAAAATTCTTTTAATTGTGGTAAAATACACATAAAATAAAATTTACTATCATAACCATTTTGAAGTATACAATTCAGTAGTGTTAAGTACATTACATTATTGTGCCGCCAATATACAGAACTTCATACCCATTAAACAACAACTACCCATCTCCCCTCCCTCCAGTCCCTATTAACCACCATTCTACTTTGTTTCTATCGGTTTGACTACTAAGTACCTTAAATAAGTGAAAGCATTCAGAATTTGTCTTTTTGTGACTGGTTTATTTTACTTAACATATGTCCACAAAGTTCATTCATGTTGTAGCATGTGTCACAATTTCCTTTCCTTTCTTTTTTTTTTTTTTTTTATAAATTTATTTATTTATTTATTTTTGGCTGTGTTGGGTCTTCGTTTCTGTGCGAGGGCTTTCTCTAGTTGTGGCAAGTGGGGGCCACTCTTCATCGCGGTGCGCGGGACTCTCACTGTCGCGGCCTCTCTTGTTGCAGAGCACAGGCTCCAGACGCGCAGGCTCAGTAGTTGTGGCTCACGGGCCCAGTTGCTCCGCGGCATGTGGGATCTTCCCAGACCAGGGCTCGAACCCGTGTCCCCTGCATTGGCAGGCAGATTCTCAACCACTGCGCCACCAGGGAAGCCCCTTTCCTTTCTTTTTAAAGCTGAATAATATACCATCGTATGTGTATATCACATTTTGTTTATTCGTTCATCCACTGATGAATATTTGAGTTGCTTCCACCTTTTGGCTATTGTTAATAATTCTCCTATGCACATAGGTGTACGAATATCTCTGTAAGACCCTGCTTTCAATTCTTTTGGATATACACCCCAAAATGGGATTGCTGGATCATACAGTTAATTCTATCTTTAATTTTTTGGGTTACCACCATATTGCTCTCCATAGCGACTGCACCATTCTACACTCCCAACCAACAGTGCACAAATGTTCCAGTTTCTCCACATCGTTGCTAACACTTATTTTCTGTTTTTTTTTTTTAAATATTAGCCATCCTAATGGGTGTGAGGTGATATCTTAATGTAGTTTTGATTTGCATTTCCCTAATAATTAGTGAAATTGAGCATCTTTTCACTTGTTTGCTGGCCGGCCCTCTCTCTTTTTATGTGTTTTCACATAATTAGAAAAACCTTAAATTCTACCCAAATCTTTTATCAGCCTCTTTCTAAGTAGTTCTCCTATTTGACATATTCCATCTCTCATAACCCATTTTTTTTTTTTTTTTTCTTGCGTTATGCGGGCCTCTCACTGTTGTGGCCTCTCCCATTTGCGGAGCACAGGCTCCGGACGCGCAGGCTCAGTGGCCATGGCTCACGGGCCCAGCTGCTCCGCGGCATGTGGGATCTTCCCGAAACGGGGCACGAACCCGCGTCTCCTGCATCGGCAGGCGGACTCTCAAGCACTGCGCCACCAGGGAAGCCCTCTCATAACCCATTTATTCTCATTCTTACCCAGCCTACATGTCCTGCAATTGATTATCTAGATCATCTAGATCTTCAGAAACTCCTTAGTTATGGTTTCATTTATTTATTTATTCTGTTCAACCTTTGCTCAATAAGTTCTCTATATTAAACTATGTATGCAATTAGAAACTGTTCCCTAGGGGACTTCCCTGGCAGTCCAGTGGTTAAGACTCTGCACTTCCACTGCAGGGGGCACAGGTTCAATCCCTGGTCGGGAACTAAGATCCCACATGTTGCAGGCCAAAAAAAGAAAAGAAACTGTTCCGTAGACTGTAGAAAAGAATGCTTGGGCTTCCCTGGTGGTTAAGAATCCACCTGCCAATGCAAGGGACACAGGTTCGAGCCCTGGTCCGGGAAGATCCCACATGCCATGGAGCAACTAAGCCCGTGCGCCACAACTACTGAGCCTGAGCTCTAGAGCCCGTGAGCCACAACTGCTGAGCCCATATGCCACAACTACTGAGCCTGCGCTCTAGAGCCTGTGCTCCGCAACAAGAGAAGCCACCACAATGAGAAGCCCGCGCACCACAACAAAGAGTAGCACCCGCTTGCTGCAACTAGAGGAAGCCCGCACGCAGCAACGAAGACCCAAGAAAGCCAAAAATAAATTAAAAAAAAAATTTTTAATTTAAAGGAAAAAAAAGAAAAGAATGCTTGTGTTCCTGCACAGAAGACTATCTTATGTATACCATTTATTAAATTTAAACATGTTCATGTGGATCAAAATTCAAAAAATTTAAAGGAAAATCTCTTTTCTCTCTGTACCATAGCTACCAATTCTCTTCCATGGAGGTAACCAAGTTACCAATTTTTAAGCAACTATAGAGTATACTGTCCATATTCTGTAGCACTTTTTATTTGCCATTTTAAAAGCTCTTATCATAGGTCACTACACACCCAGAGCAAAGGTGTGAAAACATGAGTCTGGATAAATTGAGCTCCGCCCTTAGTATAGAAAAGCCTGTCTTGTTCCTCTTAAAAAGTATGCATGTTAAGGGCTTCCCTGGTGGCGCAGTGGTTGAGGGTCCGCCTGCCGATGCAGGGGACACGGGTTTGTGCCCCGGTCTGGGGGGTTCCCATGTGCCGCAGAGCGGCTGGGCCCGTGAGCCGTGGCCGCTGGGCCTGCGCGTCCAGAGCCTGTGCTCCGCGGCAGGGGAGGCCGCAGCAGTGAGGGGCCCGCGTACTGCAGGAGAAAAAAAAAAAAGTATGCATGTTAAGAAAAGAAATGTCTTAAGATTTTTTGAAAATGAAGTTAGAAAGCATCTTTTAACTTTTTTTTCCCCCTTACAGTTGATTATGGAAGATTCTCACAAGAATAACGCTTCAGAGACAGCACCTCAGTCTGGTTCAACAGTTCAGGGAGCTCATATTTCTCATATTCCTCAACAGGTAAGGCAGGAACCAGCCAAAACATTGAGCCAGTTAGGAATATTTGTTATGCAGATTAATCTGTTGTTTCAGATCACCAGTTACTAACGTTCAAACAAAGAACCAAGCAAAAGAGAAAAAAAAACCCTGTAAAATGTTGAAATGTATGGAAGGAAGGAATTATCTGATTTAAATATCTTGTCAAGATCATTCAGTTTTATTTTCTGTTATAGCATATTTAGTGTTTTAACATGTATATACTTCTCAGAACTTGGGGAGGTAGAGTTCATTTTATGTGGTACATGATTATTTTAGTTTTTTTTTCAGACTAATTTTGTTGCTGCATAAGACAAATGAAAAATTATTTGGCCCTTTGGGCTGACTTGAAATAGAGACTAATAGTTTCAGGAGGCAAACCATCTTCAATTCAACAGATGTATTGTGGATATAAAGGAAATATTTTTGCTGAACTGAAAAATAGGCATATTCATTAGAGAATTTAAATTGACAGACATGCATAATGCAGAACTGATGATATTTTTAAAATTTCAAATTGTCTGATCCATGCACCTGACCCACTTCAGGGAAAACAACTGAAACTATGTATTGCCAGTGACAGGATTTGAACTTTCAAGTAAAAATTAGAAGTTTGGATAACTTGTGTTCACCATCCTGAACTTGACAGCTTCCCAGTAGCTACCAACTTTTTCGTTACAAAATTGTGTTACAAAATCATGCATGGTATAAGATCCATTCAGAATGCAAGATACGCCAATGGATTTTAATGTTAACAGAATACACAGAGTTCAAATTGTACATTGCAGACAAACTTTAAGAAACTACAACCTGTCAAGTTTTAATGTGGTTTCAAAGGAGAATATCCATAGTTATCTGGAAAAACAATTAAAACACCCCTCCCTTTTCTGACTACATACCTGAGTGAGGCCAGGCTTTCCTCATATACCTCAGCAAAACCACATATGGCAAATATTTAATGTAGAAGTAGGTAAGAGAATTCAGCTGTTTTCTATTAACTCAGACATTAAGGAGATTTGCAGAAATGTAAAACACTGTCATTTCTCTCACGAATTTGGGGGGTATATTTAGTCATATTAGTGAAAATATATCATTTATGTTAACATGTAATGGATTTATGATTGTTTTTATTTTTTATAAATTTATTTATTTTATTTTTGGCTGTGTTGGGTCTTTGTTGCTGTGCGCAGGCTTTCTCTAGTTGCTGTTTTTAAATGAACTGTTAAATAGTTTTTAAATTTCTGTTTAAATTTTAAATGTAAGTATTAGATTAAAAACTGACATAAATGAAATTTCTTTGGGGTCCTTAGTAATTTTTAAGAGTATCATAGGGTCTTGAGACGAAAAAGTTAGAGAACGAAGCAACTAAAGGATTAATCCTTCAAGCTTGATGTATCCTTCTCTGTTATTTGGCTATATCTGTGAAGAATAATGATATCTTCCCTAGATGGTACTGGAAAAACAATGATAGAGTCTTTCATTTACCTTCTGTTAATAAGGCCCTTCACAGAAATGTTTTAATTCAGTTGGCTTACTTACACATTTCAGTTATTTTGGTTAGATGTGAATGTTTTCCAGGTTTCCTCAGAAGCATATTTACAGAGACAGAATAAGTACATTTCTAGGCGGTAAATAATTTTATAGTGATTTTTAAAAATAATGTCACTGACTTGCTATCCAAATTCTTGTGGCTTGACTGCTTTATTAGACGCTAACTTCTGTAAGGAAAAAGTATCTAATAACAGTAATATTTATTCAGTCATTCAGTATAAGGTGGGGATATAACAGTGAACAAAAGTTTCAGCTCTCATGGAACATACATTCTAGTGTTGGGGAGAATAAAATGTATCAGTTCGTAATATGTGCTGTGGAGGCTGATAAAGCAGGGTAGGAGGAATAGGGGATTGTTGATGGGGATGGGGACTTGCCTTTTTTTTTTTTTTTTTTTTTTTTGCGGTATGCGGGCCTCTCACTGTTGTGGTCTCTCCCGTTGGGGAACATAGGCTCCGGACGCGCAGGCTCAGTGGCCATGGCCCACGGGCCCAGCCGCTCCGCGGCATGTGGGATCTTCCCAGACCGGGGCACGAACCTGCGTCCCTTGAATTGGCAGGCGGACTCTCAACCCCTGTGCCACCAGGGAAGCCCGGGACTTGCCTTTTTATGTAAGGTGGTCTGAGAAGTCGTATCTGTGGAAATGCCTCTTCAATTATACGGACCAACAGCTGTAAACTCTGAGACTGATATGTGCTTGGCATGGTTAAGGAACAGCAGGGCAGCCAGTGTGGTAGGAGAGGGATGAATGAGGGGAGAGGGATACAAGATGAGGCAGAGAGGTTTGGGATGGCAGGGGAGAGTGCCAGATAGTGTAGGTCTTGTGTGCCACTGTAAGATTTCTGGCTTTTAATCTGGGTGAGATAAGGAACCTTGGGAGTGGTTTTTGAGTAAAAACCTGATTTGACTGATATTTTACAGAGAAAGCACTTTGATATTTTAATAGGATTACTCTGGCTGCTTTGTGGAGTGGAAGTAGGAAAACCAGTTAGGAGGCTGTTACAATGATTGTGCATGAGACAATAGTTGCTTGGACCAAGGTGGTATTAGTGGTGGTGGTGAGATAAAGTTAGATTCTGGATATAATTTGGTTGTGAAGCCAATAGTGTTTGCTTTTAAAAAAAAAAAAAATTATTTATTAATTTGGTTTCACCGGGTCTTAGTTGCGGCAGGTGGGTTCCTTAGTTGTGGCATGCGAACTCTTAGTTGCAGCATGCATGTGGGATGATCTGGTTCCCTGACCAGGGATCGAACCTGTGTCCCCTGTGTTGGGAGCACAGAGTCTTATCCACTGCACCACCAAGGAAGTCCCTCAGTGTTTGCTTTTGGATTGGATGTAGGTGTAGAGGGAAAAAGGAGTCAAGATTGACTCTACAGTTTTTGACTTGAATAACAGTAAGAATGGAGTTGCTGTTTACTGAGATGGACAGCATTGGCGCATTTTTTTTTCTTTTTGGGGAGATGTTGGCAATCAGGAATTTAGCTTTTGGGCATGTTAAATTTATGATACTATTTGTTAGTTTTCTTTGCTGCAAAACAAATTACCACAAATTTAGTGGCTTATAAAAATACAACACACATTTAATATTCTAAAATTTCTCTTAGTTGGGTTCTGTGCTTCAGAGTTTCACAAGCTGCAATCAAGATGTTGGCTAGGGCTGGCTTCTTATCTGGAGACTAGAATGGAGAAGAATTCACTTCTAAGCTCACTCGGGTTGTTGGCAGAATTCATTTTATTGCAGCTGTAGGACTGAGAACTTTAATTTTTTTAGCTGGAGGCCACCCTCAGCTCTTAGAGGTCACCTGCAATTCGCTGCCACCTGGCCCTCTCCAATAAGTAGTTCACAACATGGCAGCCTGCTACTTTAAGTTCAGC